CAGGCAGAAGGACTCTTCTGCAGGACTTCTAATTTTTTTCCAGTAATGCTACCTTAGGATCTGTGAAGAAGCACCTCTGGGGCTTCCTGTTTATTTACTTTAAAAATACACTTTGTCTTATAGTGGCTTTTATCTGCAGAAATTTTAAATATTGGTAATATAAATATCATAGCTGTAAGTGTGAACCCTGAATTTTACAACCCCGACAATTTACAAAAGCAACTGATAATTCTCACCTCTATTTCTCACGAATAGCTGCAAATTATTTGCCAACATATTACGCAGACTTTTTCTAATCATATTGCTGGCATTTGTGAACTTTACAACAGATGTGTCCATAGGACTAACACCTGCTGGGTGATGGTTTTGAATTCCCTAAGATGCCTATCATCTCGCCTTAGTGCTTTTCATAGATTTCCTGCACAAGTAGTGCCACAATATAAAAAGTTCTGCCTACATTTACCTCAGTCCCAAACCCACTTGCTTGAATTAGGACTAATCTCACCTGCCTCATCCCTTTTGCCCAATTTTACCTTAAGTGAATAGTATATGTGGATGGAGGAGGATTGGCAATAGCAGTGAAGCTGTGCTCTGTGGTAATGATGATCCAAAGCATGTGGGTCTGCACATGCATAGCTAAGTGCTGAGTAAGTAATAGGATTCTTTTATCATCTCATACCTAAGAGAGAGGCAGGAAGATGCTCACACTGCAGATGAGAGAACAGATGTGTGCTCCCTTCACTCCTTCACCCTGGAATCTGCACACCCAGAAGATCCTAAAAGCCCCAAAGTTGCAGTAAAATCTGCAGAGGGTCATCCTCCTCCTTTAATTCTCTCTACTTCTGTCCTGACCTTTAAATCATGTCCATTGGCTGAGGAGTTCTCACTAGTTTGGGGGTAGATGTATGATGATGCATTTATCATAAACCACCCATGATTTTGGTGATTGCAGGCTTGCACACTCTCTAACATGACAGCTTTCTTGATCTAGATATTAAAGGAAATCTTAACCATGAGCCCCCCCCCAACAGTCTTCAATATCACCTCTAACAAATGAAAGTTCTGAAGTTTTTAGGCATTTATTTTTTTTCCAGGTGTGATTTCTTTTTCTCGTCTATTCATTTAGCCTTTCCTTTTTCTTACCATATGTGGATTCTTCAAATGTGACCTATTTCAGAAATTCATGTTAGATTCACTGTGATTTACACATTCTTACATACAGGATGTCAAGACAGGGCATCCTGATTTCTCCAGTGCATAAAGCACAATATTAACACCTGTTAAAAGAGGGCATCCAGTTACCAAGCTGTCAGCATCACTCCTAAAACCATTATTGAGGACTATTTTTCAGATCACCCCACTGATGTCAGAAAGATTGTGCTCTGCCCTGTGATCTCCTAGACTGCGCTGTTCCAGGCATGAGTGTGGTGAATCACAGGAGGAAAGTTGTGCTGAAGGATTGCTGTTAGTTTCTCTCTAGGAATGGTCCCCATTCCTCAGGATGCTTTCTAACAACAATGGTAAGTCGGCATGGACATCACTATAGAACTTTTGTTACAATACCACTATGATATATTTATATAATTTTAATCATACATATATTTCATATGCAGCATTTACTGAAATGATTTTGGTTCAAAACTGGAGATATCAGAATAATTAGAAAAAAAATTTTCTGGGGTTTCTCTGTGAACTACAAGGAGATAGAATAGTTGTGCTTAGGATCACATCAAATTGAGTCCCTTTCTTTCATGCATATATTAGGAAACAGTCTAAATTTTTCCTGTTACTAATACAGAAATTCACTTTCAGAAAACACTTTTTCACTGGTTTAAATGCAACGAACCAAAAAAAAATCCACACATTCTGGAGTGTTATTGTAAATTCATAGCTCTGTTCACACCTGGTTTTCATTACTGCTGTTCACAGGCCTGCAGATTCCTCAGTCACACTGAACTTAATGTCATCCAATGGCTTGAGACACAGGTGATTCAAAAGCTTTAATCAATCAGTATTTTAATGCTTGTTTTTATAAGGCTCAAATGTTTAAAATGAATTAAAGCAGATCCTGTATGTCACAGAAATGATATGATAGAAAGGAATTTTGTTTTTATAATACAATTTTTTTCCCATTGAGAGAAGAAATTTCAAGACCTTTTTTTTTTTTGTTACTAGGGATTGTACCCAGGATTAGGGTTAATAACTCAGCAACATACCCAATCCTTTCTACTTTTTATTTTGAGTCAGGCTCTCATTAAGTGACTTGGGGCCCTGGTAATTTATTGAGGCTGATTTTTAATTTGGTATCCTCCTGTCTCAGACTCCTGTGAGTGGCCTAAAATAATTTTTAAAAATTATTTAGCACGTGCTAATGTGAATTCATTTGTACTTATAGTGTAAAAATACCCATAAATATTTGATTTGTGTAAAATAATTGATAAGAATAGGCATATGACATTTACATGTATGCTGATGTTACAAAATAAGGGAACCCAGTTCTAGTGATCAAATGTAATCCATAAAAGCTTGGATACATATGGACATTTGATGTATATTTTTCTAATCTTTTTCCCCTGGAATTATCACGGGAAACAACTGAAAAACACTAAATGAGTGAATGGATCAAATTTTGTCAATTTTCCTGATCATTGCTTGGGAAAAATTGTCCTTTGCTCGTGGTAGTAGACAGTTTTCATTTTCCACAAATATTGCACGTTGGTATTCATATATTGAACCTGAAAAATTTCATCATACAGAAACTGAGAAAAGTGTCCTATATCTCTTATTATAAATAGAATGAGATAGATGGTGAATAAAAAATGCCAAAAAAATTAAGAGTGAAAAGTAACTCAGGATTTAAAAAGTACAATAGGGTGATTGCCATCAATGTTAATTACTTATCAAATTAAAAATAACCAGAAAAGAGTTTACACATTTCGAACATAAAAATGAGAACATTAAAAAATGTAAATTGACCTGATTTGATCACAACACAATGTTTACACATGTTGGATTATAATTCTGGATCCTAGATCCAATTAAACAAACAAAAATCAACACTTCAATGTTTTAAGCATGTATCTATATATATAAACTCAAGATTTTACATGGTATTCCATATTCAGGAGTATTTAGCTTTTCTTAGTTTCTCTTGATATCTTTTTTTTTCCTATTTATTTATTTATTTATTTATTTTGGTACTGAATATTGAACTCAGAAGGACTCAAATACTGAACCACATCTCAAGCCTTATTTTGTATTTTATTTAGAGACAGGGTCACACCCAGTTACTTAGCACCTCATTTTTTTTTTCTAAGGCTGGCTTTGAACTTGCAATTCTCCTCTTTCAGCCTCCAGAGACACTGGGATTAGAGCCTTGCACCACTGCACCCAGCCTTAGTATCTTGACTGATAGATTTACATGTTGTAAAGAGCCATGAAATGATTTAGCCTTACATGCAGAATTTTCTGATGTCATTTATTTTTCAATATATGGCTAGAAATGGTTTAAAAGACATACTTACTATTTTAGGGACTTGAATTAAAGCACAACATGTCTGTATAGGAAATATCACATTGGTAGTTTAACATCAAATTTTCTGTATCAAATTCATTTTTGGGCCTCTGAACTGAAAAATTGCTTGCTTCCTGGAGGGTATAATAAGAATCTTTTGAAGACCCATCTTTCAGGCTTGAGTAAAATTATTTTTTAATAAAAATCTTACAATTGAAATGAGGATGTATTTTTAACTGTGACATTAATTATGACCCTGATTTCAGATGACTGAGTAGAAAAGATTAGAATATGTTTTTACTAGTATTTGAAACTGGACTTGAATCACTTAGGATAGCTCTTCTGGTGATGATAATAGCATGTATGTAAGATAGATGGCTACAATGTGGATTCAAACACATTTCTAAAATACCACTGAAGATCTTAGTACAGACAGTGATAAAATGCTCCAAAATTATAAAACATGTTTGAGGCAGCAACAGAAGTAGTTATTGAAATAACTGAATTTAGTCTTCCATGTAACATGCATGAGAAACTGCAGAATTAAAAAAATACTGGCCAATATACTTCAAGGTCATTATGTGTCAGAAACACTTCATATTTGCACACATAACAGCTCTAGAATTAAGGTAATATTACTGTCCAAATTTTGTAGATGAGATAATCAGTGTTTAGTATCAAAGACTGCTTAAGATTACACTTGAAAGTAATGGAAGATCTCAGGTGAAAATTCAAACAATGTGTTAGAGTATGTAATTCTTAATATTGGCTCAGTTGATATATTGAAGATATTAGGTCTGGTAATAAAACAAAATAAAGATGGCACTGAATTAATATACCCATGTATAAAAGCAAAAATTGTAGAACTTTCAAGGTGTACTTAAAGCTTAACTAAGAAGAGAAAGATAAAAAGCAAGTCAGGATCTATACCAGAAAACCTCAAAATGAGATTATAATCTAAAATTATTTTCCATAGCACATGGTAATTCTGAATGGATAAAAAAGTTGATACACAGTTGGAGCTACACTATTGTTGCATAATTCAGGAAAATGATACCTGAAGAGTATCAGAGAGACTTGAGTGCTGAAGTGGGAAACGTGTGTGGGGGTGAACCCACACATTTTCTGATGGTAATAGGACAGGGTGAGATTCAAGGGGTGATAGTGTTTGAAATAAAGTCTTTTTCTTCATTTTCTCCTTAGATATATACTACATGATTCTTTTCCCAAAAGATGGATCAGAACTACCAACTACATAATTATGTTGGTATAAGAAGTGCATTTTTCTCTGAAGTTGGCCTTGGGATCTCAGGCAACACCATTCTTCTTCTCTTCCTCATCTTCACATTTCTTCTCCAGCACAGGCTTAAGCCTATCGACCTGGTCATTGGTCTCTTGGCCCTAATCCACCTGGGGATGATGATAATTGTGGTGTATACAGCTACAAACTCTTTTGTGTCTCAGGACTTTTGGGATGACATCAAATGTAAATCCATAATCTATTGGCACAGGTTTTTCAGGGGCTTCTCTATTTGTGCCACCTGCCTGCTTAGTGTCCTCCAGGCCATCACCCTCAGCCCCAGAAGCTCCTGCTTGGCCAAGTTTAAACATAAATCCCCACAGCAGACCCTGTGTTTTCTTGTTTTCTTGTGGGCCTTCTACATGTCCTTGAATACTCACTTCTCATTGTCTTCTACTGCCATTCCAAATGTGACCTCAAATGTCATTGTGTTTATTACTGAACCCTGCAAAATTGTACAAATGAGTTATTTCCTCAGGCATTTATTTTCTGTATTTGGTGTATTCCGGGATGTCTTTCTTATAGGACTTATGGCTCTCTCAAGTGGATACATGGTGGTTCTCTTGTGCAGGCATAAGAGGCACTTTCAGCACCTTCACAACACCAGCCTTTCTCTAAAAGCATCCCCTGTGCAGAGGGCCACCAGGACCATCCTCTTGCTTATGAGCTTCTTTGTGCTCATGTACTGTTTGGACAGCATCTTCTCCTCCTCAAGAACTATGTGGAGCAATGATCCTGTCTGTTATTATATCCATTTGATGGTGGCCAATG